GGAAGCTGGGATTATAGGTAGGTACCACCTTCTTTTGGTATGGATATTTTTCAGTGAATATTTTTAAAAGGTAAAAATAAAAACTTTGGTTATTTTTATTTAGTGTTAGGCTATCCAGACAACTTAGATGTTTTATTAAATAAACAATGCTGATAAATAGAGGGAGAGAAGAAAGGAAAGAAAAATCTGGAAGCTTCATTTCCTTGCTTTTAATTGAGTTTTTATGCATTTCACACAAAACATCTTAATCATCTCTATACTCCTTCTTCGTCGGACCGCCCCATAGGCTGCCCTATAGGTCATATATGTTAAGACCTATGGAGTCAAGTTATGTGATTAATTTTAAATGCATAATTCTCATCTTTATCAAAAGCTATATTCTCTATAAAACACTCTCTGGAATAACTTACACATAAGGTTCTTATCCATTTACTTTTAAGTATATTATGAAGCTCAACCAAAATCAAGTTTATACAGCACATGTTCACCCTCCCGATTTCCTCCTAGGTTTCCTTGCATAAACCACACACCTGGTGTCCTTCGGTGACGCTTTCCTGTGAGCAGATGCACCTGTATGGCCCGCTGGTCCTGTCACAGGTATGAGCGTGCCCATGGCACTGGCATCTGTGAATATGAACAGTCCACATGCCTCAGAACAGGTCAGGCTCAGCACATTCAAGAGTCTGTGGACATGCGCACCACAAACCCAGCATGAAAGCTGACTCTGTTTTGTCAACATCAAAGTAACTTCCTCTTCAATCGCATGATTTCAGCCAAGTGCTTAATTCATTAGTGCAACCTGGAATACCAGGACTGTCATCGATCCAACCTTACTGTATTGTAAAGGTAAGTTTAAGGCACCTTGGGGAAGGAGCTGAGGTTTTGTACAGACCCTAACCCTGTGCAATTTGTCACAGGACAGCATTTGCTAGAACTGCTGATGCTACAGTTCAGAAGAAAGGGCAGTGTGAATACAGATCCCAGTTTTTACCTTTGTTCCAGAATAAGATGAAGAATATTCAACTTTTCAACAGTAGCAGTTTCCACATTCTATGATGTAACAAGTAAACACTGATAATTTGTTTTTTGTTTTAAGTCTCTTTAAAGAGCCAAGGTATATCATTCCTTTAGAACGACCCATTCCAAGCATGCTCTGCATGTACTTTGCCACATTTGGTGGTATGCTGGCTAGATTTGTAGCTACTGTCTTTTTAAAAAAATGTCGTGATTCATGTTTTAAATTGTGATCAGAAATGTATAAACAAACAAGGGCACAACATATCTCTCTTCTAAAGTAAAATGAGTGTTCCTATGGTGGTTTGAAGGAAAATGTTTCCCATAGGCTCCAAATATTTGAACATTTTGTTCTCATTAGGTGGCACTGTTTTGGGAGGTTTTAGGAGGTGTGGTCTTGTTGGCGGAAGCACATCACTGGGGGTGGGCTTGCCAGATTTCCAGTTGCTCTCTGTTTCCTGTGCCTGCTTGAAGATGTGATCGCTTGGCTTTCTGACTCA